CCCCAAAACCCCAAAACCCCAAAACCCCAAAACCCCTTTTGAAGTTGAAAATTAGATAATTTAGAATATGAAATATAGAAATATATTAAGCTAGTAATCAAATCTAAAATATAGTTCTAAAACTAAGTTTAAATATATATTCAATCTTACCAAATATTGTTGAAATTCCTTCAAGAACTGCTTGCAGACTTTGATGCACCTAATATTGCTATAACCCAGAGAAACAATGTTATAACATCCTAGCAATCAATAAACTTCTAATATTTATAAATTACACTGTAAAGAAGCAAAGCTCCAATCACATAATCATCATAGGTCAATCCATATTTTTTGTTTGATGATATCATCTAAAATATTCTTCAAGATTTCATTATTTTTTACTTATGTATCATATATTATAAAAGCTGAAAGCATTATAATAACTGCAGCGATGATAAGTATATGGATCCATCGGTACGGAAAAACAATGAATAAAGGTATTAGAACAATCAGCGAGAAGCAAACTACTGAGACTACTCCACTTAGAATTGATAATTCAACTTTAGTCTAAAAAGAGTAACAATAAATTTTAATACTTACAAAGAATGTTAAGAAAGTCAATGCAAAGAAAATAGTCATAGTAAGAATTGCAGCAATTAATACTATTTATGCATCAATGAAAGCGCAAATTGCTGCTACAAAGTAGGTTGTGAATATTGTGTACAGAAACAGGCAAATATAGTTTAATGGTACTACTCTAGCTAGTTTATTTAAGCAACTCATTGCAATACTTAGAAAAATCATCAACCCTAGGCTAGTCCAAAACAGCCATCTATTTTACTGCATAAAATCTGCAATACCTAATAGTTTATACACAAAGGGGATGATTTACTAGGTGTTAGCATGGTAATAAGTACGAACCCGAAGGTAATACCAAGCATAATAAACAGGAGTGAGTAGACTTTGATAATGAACTATTATTTGTTAGTTTTGCCCTTGAATCCTGGTAAAAAATTAAGACAAAGCTTGGCCTTTTTCTTTTTATCCTCCTCCTATTGTTTCATAATTTCGACCTAAACCTCAGGAGGCACTTCTTTAGGGTAGTTCCCTTCTATTCCATAGTTTTAGTTTTAAAATGCATTCATATTGTATTGCCCTTCTTGGTAGTAGCCATGTGAGTATTGCTATTACTCATAGAGATTAGGATCATACATTGTCGCTTATTCTTGTAAAGGGTGATTACTTCTATATGCTTTTAGTTAATGAAGCAATAAATTACGGCATAGCTCTATTTTGATAAGGGGAATGCTGATATTAACCCATTTCATATTGTTTATCTATAGCTGGATAAACTTCCATGGAGTGATCAATTCGAGGCGGTGGGTTATGCTATGAACTCAAATAGTGGTCTAGTTTTTTTGAAGAATCTTCCATTAAATATTATTTTTCTTTATCTCTTAATAGAACTTAAAATTTGTCTCTAGGGGTTTTGGGGTTTTGGGGTTTTGGGGTTTTGGGG